TTTGGATTCACAGCTCAAGTGTTTTCCTTTGTCTGCCTTGCTCTCTGGCTCTCCTGCTGTGTGATGCCCTGATATTGGATTGACCTTATAGGCTGCAGAGATCAGTACATCATTAGCTGCCACCGGCCACAGACTCCCTGCTCAAAGCCTTCTGCACTGAGCAAGCGCCTTCAGACGGATCATGTAGCTCCGATAAAGACCAGCAAGGCTCGGTGACAAGGCAGCCAAGGTGGTAATATAGATGTCAGCTGGAGCAGAAAGACAGACCATTAAAAGGTGTGTTACATGTGCTGTTTGTCGATACATGTGAATCTGCGTTAGCTACCTGGTCGGGTATGGAATGGGCTTACTGAAGCAGAGATGTGCAGATATTAAAGATTCATGGTCACGTTTTACTAAAAGTTTAATACATTTGGTGGATAAGCTATTTTTGTCACAGGGACTAAAGGTCTTCTTTCACTATTGGGAGCTGTCTGAGACATTTTTAATCCTATAGATTCCCAACCCAACACAGACTTGGTGTTGTGCCGAAACATTTAGTTCTGCTGAAATCTGATCGGCCTGCGTGACAGTGTGGGAGGCCATTTTTCAGCTGACCACAAACACACCTGAGCTGATTAACCTGCACGTGATGGAAACGTGGTGGTTTTTGGCTTTGGAGATTTGGAGTTTGGATGTTTCGTTGATCTACTGGCAGTAAAACATTAATCGTGCATATTTTATTCAAAGTGGAAATATAGACTCAAATGGGATATTTTTCTGACTATTAAAATTGGAATAATTTGGAAGCATATTTTATTTACCTGCAGTGTTGGGCTACGTGGGTTTCAAGCACATTTATTGATTTTAACAACTTGAATCTACTCGCTTAAAAAGAGTACAAAATCTCAGCCTCCCCTTGTTCCCTGCAGTCCATCCATCCATCCATTCTCCTCTGCTGATGGGGTCTGGTCGCCGTGGCAGTAGCCTGAGAAGAGAGGCCCAGACTTCCCTCTCCCCATGCAGCTGCTGGAGCTAGCCTCTCCAGGCCAATCCTAAGGTATTCCCTGGCCAACCGAGAGACATAGTCCCTCCAGCATGTCCTGTGTCTTCCTTTGGGTCTCTTGCCAGTTGAACGTGCCTGGAAAACCTCACCAGGGAGGCATCTGTTATTCTGATCAGATGCCTGAGCCTCCTCAAGTGGCTCTTCTCGATGTGGAGGAGCAGCGGATCTACTCCGAGCCCCTCCCGGATGACCGAGCTTCTCACCTCATCTCTAGCCCAAGCCACACTGCAACTATTTATTTAGATCCGATCCCGGCTCCGACCAGAGAATGCTGCTGTTGTGTCCTTGGGCAAGGCACTAAACCTGCCTTGCCGCTGGTGGTGGTCAGAGGGACCGGTGGCGCCTGTGTTCAGCAATCTTGCTTCTTTCCGAACACCCCAGGGCAGCTGTGGCTACAATGCGGCTCACCATCGCCAACATGTGGATATGGGTGTGAATGGGTGAATGACTGATTGTGTTGTAAAGCATCTTGGGGGGTTGTAGAACCCTAAGAAGGTGATATACAAATGCAGGCCGTGTGCCATCTTACTCCTTTTATTAATAAAATGAAACTTGGTTTTGATCATTTTAAAAATCTTTTTTATGGATTTTTCATTTCAAGATGTAAATAAAATAGTTTCTTACACACATATATTGTTTGACATGACATCATGACTATGGTGCATTATATTTGAAATAATTGAATTTTTCCATAACAGTGACCTATCTTTTCATAACACCCCAAGCTAAGCTGTATTTTCATGCAAGCACTTCCTCTTTTAAGGTCACGTCTATTTTCTAGTTGGTCGATATTTAATTTTGGTACAAAATTCTTGTTTCTTTGAAATCCTCTGCTGACTTTTTCCCTCTCCCACAGCCGTGATCCACAGGTAAAGGATCAGGTTGAGAGGGTTTATTGTTTTTCAATAGCTGCCCCCCGGTAGAGCACCGAAGCCCTGGGTCTTAAATGACCATATAAGGTATTGATCTTCATAAGGCGGTGTTTTTGTTGTTAAATAACCACCACAGGATGCCCACTAAAAGGTGTTGACCTTTTTAGGTCTCTCATTCCACCTAAACAAGGTCCTCTGGGGATATGCTGGCAAGGGTGGACTGGCCTAACTGGCATTCTGGCACTGTCCCGGTGGGCCACTTGCCTATTTTGGGCTAACGCCACCACCCCATCCCGCTCTGAGGTCCGACGAGTCATAAAGATTCCAGGGCCGAAATGCCATCCCAGTCCACCCCATACACTGGTAGTTTAGGGCTCATGGAGGGAGAATAAATAAAGTACCTTTTTAAAAGTAAAAAAAAATGTTGCCCTAATATCAGATCATTGAGGTACATCATCAGCGGGGTATGAGAAATATTATCTTTGTGTCTCTTTGAGCCTGTTCCTGGACACTTGTGGTGACTTGGCTGAGCAAATGTCTCCCTTAGAGGTTCCTGTTTATCCTCTTTTTCCTGTTTTGCCAGAAATATGTGGTCTCATTAACCACAGATGATGTTGTCACAGTGTGACTGTGAATAAACATCCATCCTATGTAGATACAAAGACAGCCACCCCACTGTTCCTGGAAAAAACAGTGGGAACTAGTAAAAAAAAAAAAAAAAGTGTAGACACACGCTTCTGGATCACAACAGGGAAATCACACTGTCTTCTAAAGTCCATCTCTCTCTCTCTCTCTCTCTCTCTCTCTCTCTCTCTCTCTCTCTCTCTCTCTCTCTCTCTCTCTCTCTCTCTCTCTCTCTCTGTACCATCAAGCTCTAACAGACCTCCAGACCCATTCAAGCACAAGCAGGGAATTTAACGAGCTTCAGCACACATCATTGGTAAACTGTAGACTCGAGTACAATTTATTGTCCCTGTGGCAGAACTCAGACAGCCACCATTCTCCTTATTACCACTTAACTCTCCTTTTCAAATCTTCTTTTTTTTTGTTCTCCCGTGTTTGTGGTTTCAGGCTACGCCGTGGCCTTTCAAGCTTTCTGTTAGTTTGAATGTGTGTGGGTGTGCATGGGCGGGAAAGGAGACTACTTATAGCCGCTGAGATCTTCCTTTAAAAAACACACATTTCTAAAGGGTTACATTTTCTCTACCTCCCACTCTTTTTCATCCGCACATTCTCTCTTTGCTTTATAACCCTTATTACCCTTCTAATTGGATCATGTAATGTGCGTTTGAGTCAGCCGCCCGGGCCTAGTGACCCACAATCCGGCAGTCTTTTTCCTTCCCTCATCGAATAGTTATCTCTTCTAGCTTCAGAGTAAGTGACTGATAGCATATCAGAGTCCCACAGGAAATGAAATGGACTCTGGAGATGTATATCTAAAAACAGAGCAGCCATCCATATATCTCCCGGTGAAGGAGATAAAAGAAAATCTAATATAATTTTTCTCTTTGGGGAAGAGATTCTTAAAATCGCTTTAAGACAAAAGCAGCTATTGGTCTTTTCAAATAAAAGACAATGGTTTGGTGCTTATCAGTATTCCTGCCATTGGTCTTCCTTCAAGAGAGTGGCAGTTTGGGATGAATGCACCGCAACATCTAAGCGATAGGTGACTAACGTCGGAGATAGCGCTGCTCTCACCTTAAGATAATTTTGAGTGTAGAGTGTCAGATGATTGCAGATTATCGAACCATGTTACAGTTGATCTGAATCTCATCAGCACTTAACCCTCATTCTTTGTGCAACAGAGGTGAGAGGAATGTAAATTGGAGAGTTTTGTGCTTTCTGGCCTTGTTTCAGCTCTCTTCTCTCTCACTGTTCTCTCACCTCACTATCCAATCACATTTGTGCACTCATAAGTACACCCAGACATACAAATACATACAGCACACACACACACACACACACACACACACACACACACACACACACATTCAGAGCTCTCTATCTCTGTCACAAACAAACACATCAAGAGCGCCTCTCTTTCTCCCCACAAATGCGCTCGCACAAGCACCCGGGCTTACTGGATGTCTATGGTAGAAAGCAAACATGGGCCCATGAAAAATGCATGTCCCTTTGCCTGTTTATAAGAAACACTCATCGGGATTCAGTTCCCCTCCCAGCTGAAATACCACACAGGAATATCAATTACACAAGGCAATTTGGGTGGAAGTGTAGGCAGGAATGATGCTCAACGAGAATACGGTATCTACAGTGTCGTCTCAGTGAGAGGGGTCACCCTTTCCTCCATCCTGGGAAGGGACGTTTCTAAAAAAAAAATTATATATTGGCTGGAATTTGATAAAAAAAAACTGTGTTGAATCGGTGGAATTTTGATAGGATAGCAAGTCAACAAGGCAGCAGAAAAATAAATATCTTCTCAAGGCCAAACGCAAACTTGTAAGACAGTCCAAAGGACTTGGTTTGAGAGTTGTTTTCAGAGCTAAATTTAATGCAATATTTGTGAAATTGTGATTTTTGAGCCTTCTTGAACAAAAAAACTCTGTGTGTATTTCCTCCCTGTCAAGTTTATTGAACAAAAGACAGTCTTTGACGTGTTAAAATTTCAGAGACCGTACATTCTACCTGATGTCTGTTTCTTGCTGTCTTTACCACACCCCTGATCAATTCTGATTCAGCTTCAATCAGTTTGCTGTAGGGTCACTCATTTTACCAATTGCTCTTGGAACAGCTTATCAATATAATCTAAGGAAAAGAAAGTCAAAACACAGAAAAACAAGTGAATGCTAAAAGTAAGGAGCCAGGTTTATGTTACAATTGAGTCAGACCTCTTTTGTTTTAATTCTTTGGTTTTGACCCTTTTTACCAATATTGTTGAAACTTTAACTACTTTTTGCACATTAAGTGTACAAATTACTGTTAAATATTTGTGTTCACGAAACATTTTCCCCAAAATGTCTTCATTTGCATAGATTCCAGTTTAAAGTTTTTTTGGATCAAGAAAATACATTTTTTCCCAGAATCACTTCAGTAAGCACTTACCTTGGTGTTTTTCTCTCTTTCAGGAGAATCCTTACATGTGCAACAATGAATGCGATGCTGATACAGAGGAGCTGGCTCATCCTCCTGAGCTCATGTTTGACTTTGAGGGTCGTAACCCTACGACTTTTTGGCAGTCAACGTCGTGGAAGAAGTACCCAAAACCCCTGCAGGTCAACATCACTCTTTCATGGAACAAGACAGTAGAGCTGACTGATGACATTGTAATTACTTTTGAGTCGGGTCGACCAGAGCAGATGGTTCTTGAAAAGTCCCTTGACTATGGTCGGACCTGGACCCCTTACCAGTTCTATGCCACTGACTGCTTAGACGCTTTTACCATGGAACCCAAGACAGTGAATGACCTTACCCAACGCACCCTGCTCGACATCATTTGCACCGAGGACTACTCTCGCGGCTACGTGTGGAAAAATGACAAGACTGTTCGATTTGAGATAAAGGATCGCTTCGCTCTGTTTGCCGGACCCCGACTACACAACATGGCCTCGCTATACGGCCAGCTGGATACCACTAAGAACCTGAGGGATTTCTTCACGATCACTGATCTGAGGGTTAAACTACTGAAACCGGCAACTGGAGCCACCATGGTGGATGAAAACAACCTGTCCAGATATTTCTACGCCATCTCTGACATCAAAGTACAGGGCAGGTAAGACCCACTAAGGTTTGTTTTGTGGTTTTTGTTCTTGAATAAAAATAAAGATGTTTTTAAAAATAGACTGCTTTACACATAAAGTAAACAAGGTCTCATGTTTTCAGTGTGGTTTGGGGCAAAACCTTCTAGGGACTAGCGACGGTGGGACAGGAGTTGAGCGCTCACCCGTAATTGGAAAGTTGCAGGTTTGAGCCCAGCTCAGTGTCGCTGTTGTTTTGTCCTTGGGCAAGACACTCTGGAGAGCTGAAACCTGGGACCCACTTCTATGATGTTGATCGTTCTCAGTAAGAGTGCACAGCTTGTCAGGGTGTGCTTTTTCCTTCTGTAAGTCATCGGAATGAGTCTGCTTTTTCAAGGATTGGGAACAATGTTGTTTCCGGATGCACAGAAACGGTCCATGCGACAGTCATAAAGCCCTCACAGCTGCTCTCCAAATGGAACCTTTGTTGCGTGCTGCAGTTGGTTTATGTGGAGGGTAACTAGGTTTGTAATGACCCATTAGATGAGGCCCACAGTAAATTGAAACAGTTAGTCTCTAATTAAAATTCAGTAGACTTCAATGGTAGATTACAACCATTAGCAAGTTGGCTAATTGGTGGGAGACTAATCTTGTAATTAAGAGCATTTGCAGCTGATTAAATGCTAATCATCTGGGACACATCAGTGAAGCGTGAATACATCTAGAATAACCAAACTGTTGTTCTAAATTTAGCTCTGCTCAGTTTGTAAAAGACTGGATTTATGGTTGTATATATTAGTTTACAGTTTAAATATTTAGCACCTTATATGTGTTTTTTCTTTTCTTTATTTGGTCAGTTTACTCAGTTTGACAAAGAGACAAAACTTTGAGGTGCTTGACTTTTTTTGGCCTCACATATTTTTCCTAATGGAACCACGTTATGATAAGAATGTCGTGTTCTGAAGTCAAAGGAACCATTTCAGGATTGAAACTTACACTCTGAAACATGAACTGATGAGTTTTAAATTGAAAGGACTGCCAGCGTGGACAACATAGCGTCTCCCACAGTTATCTTGTTTTGTCATTCATTAGAGTCTCGAAAAAGGTTGGACACCATGAAAATAACTTATTTTGCCCAATTTTCCATCCCACCCCTGGGCATCAAATTCAATTTTTGAGCAAAAGTTTTCAGGCAGGAAGAAAACAAAATAAACATATGATTTCAGTCGAGGAGTGGATCAGTCACTCACATGAAAGAGTGCGATGGAGACAGGTGGAAAGTGACTGATTAGAGCTCCCAGCAGCCTCAGCAGCCTTCTGGCTACCACCAAACCTGAAAGTCTTATCTCAGGATGGCCATCCTGTTCGAAAACTCCCAGAAACCCCCACAAAGGCTGATAAACTCTCTCTCTCATACATAACTGAATATTTGCAGGCTCAGGTTAGCTGCAGATGTGTTCAGGATTTTGAAGTCCGAGCTCTGAAAGGAAGAAAAGCTGCACGTCATTTAGATACAAACAGAAAAGTTGTTGCTGAATCAAATTTACGAAAGGAGCCTTTGAATTATTTTACCAAGTTCAAAATTGAGGTTTCAAACAAAGAAATATTGATCTGAACTGATGCTGTTTGAGACCGTATTTAAAGCTGCTAAAGCAAATCTGCAAACAAGATTTGAACGCAAACATGGTCATGGAACACTCACCCCTCCCTTCATTTATCCTCTCTGGAATTGCATCCACCAGAACTGGAAACACGCAATGCCAGAGCAAACGGGAGAACGTTAAACACCAGTCGCTGTTTTCTAGGTCCAAATGTATTTTGTTGTACATGACTTTTAATGGTGTTTTTCTCTTTGGGATTCTGGTAGTTTATCCTAAAGTTGAAGTGGTAGCTGCCAGTTTTTTCCCCTTCTCTGATATATTTGAGCAGAGAACACCAGTGGTGGTCTATTGCTGTATATGAGTGCTTAATAAATGGAGGACCCAGGGAAGTGCAGCTGTTCGGTGAGACCAACAGCTGGATGGTGCTTTTGATCCAAGCCGAGTTATTGGTGAAGGTCTTTAGACGAATGCCAAGCCACTTTATTTTATTTTCTTATTTTTTTTATCTCCACAATATATTTATAGCTACTATACTATGACAGAAGGTTGTTAAGAGGCATGAAAATGTTTTTTTTCCGAATTTGCTGGAACAGCTTTAAAAGTGTAGAATGTCATGCAGGCTGAAAATGAAAATAGACTCCTACACTATCTCCTGCATTAGCTTCTGATAGAAAATAGATGGTGAAACTCTAGGATTTGAAAATCCTGACCGATCTACATCACACTGTTACTGAACATTCATGAACTCACCCATCTTGACTCATGACGGGGAAGGCTGTTGTTGTTTTAGCGTCCAGGAAACAGCAGAGAATGTTTCGGCTAATAGAAGCTAACATTTAGCATTAGCAACTCCACCACACAGCAGAACCCCTCCAGGCTTGTGTCATTTGTGGAGATGAAAAATCAACATTGCTGAGCAAACAGAGTCAGCGGTAGAGTTGCATTGGTCTTATCCAATGCAGAGGTGAGGTCTACAAATATCAGGAAATTAGACTCCAAATCCTGCTGTGTTAAGCTTAACTCTGATGTGGCAATATTCTAGTTCCTGAAACAGGTGCACCAGAGATTTTTTTCCCCAGAAAACGACTTACAAGACATTTCTTCCTACTAGAGACCACTGCATATGAACTGATTAAACGAGCTTTCCGCACCCTTAAAGGTAGTGGCCACACTCAGCATTAAAATTGTAGATATACAGTATAACTACACTTTACCATCTATATAAATATGAACTGGGTTCAGTTTTTCATTTTTTTAAGGAATTTAGTCATAAATCATTACAGAAAATCAGAATTCTCTCCTCCACGCAATGAAGAACTGTGTTCAGCATACGTCACTCACACACGTCATAATAGGTAGCTGCTGTTGCTAGCATGGTAAATCACTGTATTTTGTTTACTATTGTGTTCCTAATAAAAACAGAAAATTGTGTTTACTGCTGCAGCTAAAGGCCTGAGCCATATGTCCGTGTCCTTTCGCGTATTTTTAACTAACATAGGTTTGATCTAAAATAATAAGCTACATCTATAAATCCATTTAGAACCTCACCGGCACTTCTGGACTCCAGCAGGCGAGTCCCGTCAGCATGACTGCCGCAGCACTATCCGTGTTAGCACCGGTAACAAATAATTTGTGAAAACTACGACACACACACACACACACACACACACACACACACACAGAGATACAGATATAATCTAAAAGACAATCCCCATTTTTCAACAATAGATCCTCCTATAGGACCGGTAGAACCTCCGTGTCATCCTGGATCAGAAAACAACGATCCGAGCTAGCGAGTTAGCATCAGGAAGATTTATTCTGGTAAGCAATCGTTTAAATATTTTGCGATGTTATATCAATAAATACACAGCGGTAAAGCTGACAACATGTTATTTTACACATCTGCAGATTATGGAACTATATTAGGACAATATGATGGAGCTAATCAGCTGAGAACTTAACTGAAAGCTACCGGTGGAGCACAGACATGAAATAATAAACAAACTTTAACAAACTGTACCGATTTTGGTTCCGAAGACAAACAAAATCCTCCCAGGTGTCCCAATCGGGCCACGGGTTTTCTGAGTGAAATGGTCCAAAGCATGTCTGCACCTCTGGTTCTGATATCCAGCTGCAGGGCACAGAGTTCAGTTGAATGTCTCTGGTAATCCAACATCCATTCTTGTTGCCATATCCCAGAGAAAAAAAAAAACAAATCTGACCGACTAGCAGAGGCTTCAGAAGCTACATCTGACTGATGACACATTGTTCTCTGCTACAACGCTAACGCAGAAACACCGGAGTCAGGCTTTGTTTACTATCACTGTTTCAGCAGAAAACCTCGTGAAATCCTCTAATACAGGCCCGGGCCTGTATTTGACTCAAGCTCATCAAGCTCCAGGCCTTTATTGGAAGGAGGACCAGAATTAGAGGCAGGCCTCAATTTCTATTTGAGCAAAATGAACTAATGGTTCGCTGGAGTTTTTGACAATTAAAATTGCGCCCACATTTTCAAAGTTAAACACATTTCTTTTAACAACGGTAGTTTCTGCTTCAGCCATCTCCCCCCTCCCCCTGCGCAGCGGCCGCAAACTCACTGATGCGCCTGCAGCCTCTCAGAGTTCCTGCTGCTCTAAACATTAAAATAATTATTTCATTTTCTGTTCCTCACTTCTGATTACCTTCAATGGTGTCTGTTTGTTGCAACCACTAGGTACAAAAACTAACTTTTTTCTATGACTATTTTTCTGTCCTGCCTGCTTATTATCTTCCTGCATCTCCTCTCAATCCTAAAGAAAAACTGCTACCTGGGTTCATATATATTCACCTTATGAGTTACCTTTGAACTGCAGTTCTAAAAGATCTACCGACCACAAAAACAGCGGAGTGCTCGCCGGCCACATCAGTGATCGGTGCGTCACCGAGGACAAAACAGGTGATGCACCCCGATCCACAGCAGCGAAAGGCATCAGGCACAAATAAAAGACAGAAAACATAAAAGGAAATGAGCCGACATGAACGAACGCGTGTTAAATTAGTTTTTGAGATGGTGACACCTGATTTGATAATGTTACTGTGGCCGTTCTCAGGACGCAGATGTCTGGAGCGCGTCAACAATCAGAGCGTTGCATGCGCAAGCTGGTTAAGGTTAGGATGGGGGTGAGGGGAAGGTTAAATTGCAAGAGGGTAAACGTCACAATTTGGTTAAATGTCCATTTTACGGCGGGTGTCAGTACCGACGCTCTGGCACAGCGCGTTGCCTCCCGACGCGCAGGAGCTTGTCACCTGCTGACAGCAGGCTGCTGTATTTTACGTGGACTGCATCTTGCCGGTCATTATCACGTGACAGCGACTAGTCGATGACAGGCATAACAAGTCACTATAGAGCGGTGAAATCGACTAGTGACTAGTTCATACAACCCCTGCTACTGCTC